CATATATTATTAAATAAATAGATACATTTAATATTATATATTTTAAACAAATAAAAATAATCAATTATTTAAATAACATATAAAGTTTTAATAAAAATGATAAAAAATTAACTTTGAATTATTTTTTATTAAAAAAATATCAATTAAACTAAGTTAGATTTAATTAATTTAATTTAATTTTTATATAAAATTTAACCATATATTTTTTTATAATAAATAGAGGACAATTAATATTTTTTATATATACGTACTTTTTATTGTATGCTTTTATATAGATTTAAAAGAAATTAATTATTATTTATTTATTATATAAAATTATTAAATTAATTTATATACAATTAAAAAACTAAAATTATTTAAAAAATATAACTTATGTGCCTTTCCCATTTACGTTATTGGGCGGCACCCACCTACCCCTTATATGTTATTATGAGAACTGCTGAAAGTCCCATCCAACTATGATAAATTTTTTCTCACCCAAATACATTTTTCAACCAAAAACTACCCAAACCTCGTCCCATCCCAATTGCTGCCTCGTACCAAAAACTAACCGAAAAACAGGAACATGAAAATTATGACAATCCATATACATGCGACAGACCTCCCCCATGACGAAGATCAAGAGAAGGGTCAAAATGCTGTGCCACTAACAAGACTGACTTTGTAGAGTCAATGGTGTATCACTAATAAGGTCTCTTTTTATTAATAATTTATTATTTGAATGAAAGATAGTTGAATTTTTTAAATAAGATTTTAAATTTATATTTTAAAAATAAAAGAGTAGATACTAAAATTTTTTTTAAATAAAATTAGACGTAACTTAATTTTAAATTAATTAAAATTTAATATAATTTTTAAATTTTAAAAAGTTAATACAAAAAAATAAAAGAGTGCAAGACTTTCTCCCACCAAAGATCATCTGTGTCTAATTGTCAACTTAATAGATGGTCAACTCTAGGATTTGAATTTTCAAGCCAGTACTCAATTAAAAATGTTCAAAACGTTAAAAGGCATGCTTTTAAATTATTTGATGAGAAATTAAGTATAATGTACGCAAAAACTTGGTCAAAGATATCTTAATCATCAAAAAAACTTACTTCTTTGTTATGATCAAATCTTTTATTTACATTTTACGTATTATTTCTTTTTATGGTTAATATTTTTAAACAATTTTATTCTTGAACAACATTATTTATAATTTAAAATTAATAAAAAAAATCATAAAAAATAATAGTCAAATTCCCTAATTGTACTTTAATTTTATTGATAATTTGAGATTTTTTTATAAATTTCAAATTATGAAATGTATTAATTGAAAATAAAAATTATAAAACTTGTTAACCACAAAAAATAAAGTATTTATGAAGCAAATAGAGAATTTTAACCTCTTTATTAATCATATATATTTGAAAGTTTCTAACTTTACCTGTACACTAGTATAAATGGAGATCTTAACTCTTATTATTTTGGTATTAGAAATTTGCAATAATATAACAGCCATGGGTTTCAGCTCAAAAAATTCCATCAACGTGCTTTGAGAAGATTATAAGGCTTTTCTCAGCCGTCCAGAGACCAAGTTATTCTACGATCATACGTAAGGCTATTATTACCCATGCATTTCAAGAAATTCAATAGCTGAAGTCATTCCTATTAGATGAAATAACATTTTCATGATTCTTTGAGAGCAATCAGGGATGGGTTCTCTATTGCTAGTGGCCTTCAACTTCAGAATGTTATTTTGGAAATTGTTTGTCAAGTTGCTTTTCTACTTTTATCAGATGCTTCAAATCCCTTTCATCCTCATGGCACTTTGCTTGTGGATTGCAGGGACCTTTTGCGCACCATATCGATCCCCCAAGTCCAATTGCAACATGTGCTGCGAGAGAGTAACATGGCAGCTGGTGCTGCTGCCAAGAAGGGGGCAGGGGGCTTCTGCCTCTCATGGGTTTTACATTTTGTATGACTGTCTACGTAGTGTAGATTTTTTTGTGTATGCCTGATCTCGTTGGGGTTTAAGTTTAATAATATCTTTCCTTTTTACTAAAGAAAAAAAAATAATCTCATGATCTATGCAAGAGTAGTTATGGCTACCAATAAATTTATTAAAATTATTAAATTTATTTTTAATTTGAGTAATAT